ATTGGAGATTTTAACGCCAAATTCTGATTCAAACAAGATGATGCAGAATCTGTTATTGGAAGCTTAGAATTTGGATAGAGAAATGAGAGAGGTAACAGGCTACTTGACTTCTTACATCAAAAAAATCTCTTTGTGATGAATTAATTCTTCGGAAAGAAACCCCAACGGAAGTGGACATAGAAGAGTCCGAACCAAAGAACAGAAAATGAGACTGATTTTATAATATTAAATCGGAATGATATTGTTCAGGATGTAACAGTCTTGAATAAATTTCAACAGGGAGCTACCATAGACTAATTACAGCAAAAACCACTTTTAACACTGAAGTTGAAAGAACATAAATGATCCTCAAAAAGAAAAGTGGAAGGTGGATGTTCCCAGAAGATATAACACTTTACGAATAAATTGGATACACACTACATAGAGAATATCAGCATAAATGAAATGAACAATAATATTACTCAAATATTAAAAGAAGCTAAAAAGAAATACTGTCCTCGTCCTAAAAACAATAACAAAAAATTAAGCCACAACACAAAACATCTTCTAGAGGAAAGAAGAAAACTTAGGGAAAATCAGGATCATGACCAAAATGAACTAAGAATTGGGATAAGAAAATTAAAAAGAAAGTTAGAAAAGATCTGAGACGATAAAATACGAGAGAAATAACTAGAGTAATAGAAGAAAACAAAAGCTTGAAAGTAGGTACTTAGACAAAGCATGTCCATTAAAACAAAAAACGTCCACAAATTAAAAAATGAACAGGGGTAAATCAATGAGGATAGAGTTCAAATTATGAACACGATAGAGAGTTCTTATAGACAATTATACAAAGAACAGCAATGTAACCAAAGCAGATCATTACCAAAGATAATCAATCAGGGATCTGAAAGTTTACCGGATGTAACAGCCAGTGTTAGAGTGGGTGATCGTCAAACCTAGAAATTCCCGATACAACATGGAGTACGCCAGGGAGACACCATATCGCCGAAACTGTTCACTACTGCTTTTGGAATATATATGTTAAAGAGCAAAACTGACCGACAAGGGCATAAACATAAACAGAGAAAAGCTTAGCCATCTAGGCTAAGCTTTAAAAGGTTTGCAAATGATATTGTACTAAAAGCTGATAGGATAGATGAGGCCAAAGAACTTTTAAATCAGCTCTACCTTTCCTCGCTAGAAAGGGGATTGAAAATAAATATATCTAAAACCCAGATGATGACAAATCTTGTAGTCAGCGAAGATATATGCAATATATGCGAATGATAGGAACAATATCCATAGACCAGGTAATAGCCTATAAATACCTGTCATGAGATCCGCATAGGAAAAGATAACCAAACCGTTAAGCTTCTTCGTCGTATAAGACTGACTTGGGCAACCTTCGAGAAGCTGAACCATATTTTTAAATCGTCTTATATACCAATATGCCTTAAAAGAAAAACCTTTAATCAGTGTTGACTTACGGTGAAGAAACGTTGACTATGACAAGGAGAACAGTTCAGAAGATCCGTGTGTGTCAAAGTGCGATGGAGCGTGCTATGTTGGGTGTTTCACAACGAGACAAGATCCTAAATCGCCAGCTACGACAAAGAACAGGAGTGGCTAATGCAGTAGAGAGAGTAGCAACACTAAAATGGAACTGGACAGGTCACGTGGCTCGAATGACAGATAATAGATAAACAAAGCGGATACTGGAATGGAGACCAAGAGATGATGCCTACCGAAGCAGGGGTCGTCCACCAACACGTTGGACTGACGATCTAAAACGTTGTCATAGGAATTGGATGCAAGAGGCACAATATCGAAATAGATGGAATATTATAAGGAAGATCTATGTCCAGCAGTTGATAAGCGAAGATTAAATGATGATGATGATCCCAAATGCAAGTTTTACGCGGTATAGCCATTAAAAAATTAAGCATTATTGTTTTTTGACCCACCCTAGTGGGGATACTTACCTTGCTTAGGACGGCAGTATTGTTGGTATCATTGTTTTAATATGTTTAGTTTCTTTAGTGCTTTCACATCTCAAAATATTGTATTCAAGTACAGGCCTATATCGTAGGCGTTATCTGAATAATTTTGACCAGGTTTTGATTGGAATTATTGAATTAAACCGTTTTGACACGGTTCGTAGGGCAGCGCGATTAAAATAGCTAGCTAAAATGATAACGTAGAATATCGTTCAGTATTGAAATTTAGAGTCATCAATATAAGCCGCTGGCTAATTAACTTATCTGACGTATCTAATTAAGCATATTTTGAAAAATTGCCCGTTGTCGTTCCACTAATTGAGTTATGGCGTCCAAATTTTGAATTATTACTCTAATTATATAAGTTTTGCTCTAGTTGTTAACCAAAGCAAAATTTCCAGTTTGATAATTATAGTATTTATCACAAATTCGATCAAAAATTGAAACAGTTGATAAATATCATACTTTTAATTACACAAAAATACATTACTTGGTGAAATAACTAAGCCAGGAAGCTTTGTAGTGATTTCAGGAGTTCATTTTTGCTATTTACATTGTACTATGAGTGATAATATAACTATCTGTGGGTTGGTTTAATGTAAAATTTATTTATATAATCCTGTATCGTCCTGTGCGATCCAACCAACAAATCAGGCAAAGATCAGGAGTTCAAGACGTCGTCGAAAGAACCACGACGCTTAAGTGGAACTGGGCAGGGCACTTGGCCAAAACACAAGATGGACGGTGGACAAAACGTATTATGGAATGGAGGCCCAGATACTATAAAAGAAGCCGAGGACGACCACCGACTAGATGGACCGATGATATAAAACGTGTAGCGGAAAACTGGCTACAAGCGGCCCAGTGCAGAGAACACTGGAAAGAACTGAGGGAGGCCTATGCCCAGCAGTAAACGCGATTGGCTGATTGATGATGATGTCTTGTGCGATTAACACATTCACAAAAAAAGTGGTAGTTTTCTTTTTTTTTGGTGAATTTCATTGATTTTTCTTTACTGTCTTTCAAAAATCAGGTCAAATAGAGAAACACTCCATCTAAATATCTTCACCATGCTATGGGTTTTTGGTCATTATCGTATACAATGTTTTGTTTAAATTCTTTCATAAAATTATTTGCTAATAATAAAGATAATGAAAACGCAATGACTAATCCAAAATATTATTTCTATACAAAATTTAAAACCCACAGTATGGTGGATATATGTAGATAATGTATTCTCAATATGGCCTCATGGATCAGAGTTTTTGAACACATTCCTAAATGATATAAACGATAAAGAATAGACAATAATATTTACTATGGAAAATGAATATAACAACACACTACCTTTCCTGGATGTTTTAATCTCTAAGAACGATACTGAATATAAGACTCAGGTATATAGAAAAGTAATACACACCAACAGATATTTAAATATAAAATAAAATCACAATATTAATATTAAAAAGGGAATCATTAAATCCTTATACGATAGAGCCAAAATTGCTTGTTTTAACGAAAATTCGGTCTTGGAAGAAAAACATTTATTAACATTTTATTTACATGATTATCCTTTATCGTTTATAAATAATGAATTTTGAACAATCGACCGAATAAAAGGAAATAACTTAAAAGGATTGGAAAAATCAACATTTTAACACTTCAAAACAATAAACAAATTGAGATCTATTTTGCCCAAAACCAAACCTAACAATGAAGAAGAAAGCACAAAGAATTGTATATAAAATACCGTGTGAATGTAATCAGATTTATTTAGATGTAACATTAAGACCATAAATGTTAGAATAAGTGAACATCAATCTTATATTAAAAATAGAGAATTTGATAGATCTCAAATTATGTAAACACGCATGGGAGAATGAACATAGGGTTCAATGGAATAATTCAAATATAATCCTAAAAGAAACGGATGGTAAAAAAAGAAAAATCAAAGAAGCGGCTCTAATTATGCTAAACGAGACCAATTGTGTAGCAAATATCTCGGTAGAATGTAGTAGGATCTGGTTATCCATATTAAAAGAGGAAGTTATTAAAAGGAGTATACCAGTATTAGTAAGTCAGTAACGTATAGAGGATACATCATTTATGTTTTTAAATAACAAACATATAAAATCGGAATTTGGTGTTTATTGAAAGTAAACTAAATGCAAGATCAAATACTTATCATATCGGGATAGTATTAGGGAGATTTTTTTCCTGGTTTTTCCCTCATAATTTACTATGCAATCACTAACAGGAGAGTTTTACTGTCATTATGGCATGTGTTTGTCTTTTTAAAGACGAATTACATGCTATGATTTTTTCTAACGGATATTCTCAAGTTAAAGTTGATTTCATGTGCTTGAATGAACTATCTTACAAGTAAAGTTGTCCCAGGAACGCAACTCAATAATATTGGCAAAATCATTTTAAAGTCGTCTACTTTAAAATGTGTAATGTATGTCTAAATTGTCAATATAAATGATTCAGATAAAATTTAATTATTAGAAGAATTTTTCTCCAAGTAATAAAAAAACCAAATTTGTCTGTATTTTGAAAACAATTTCCGAAGTGGAAATTAAAACCTTAATAAACGTATTTTAACCTTTAATTGTGGCTTATTTCCATTTAAATAGTAATTACTTTAAAATGCCACAATAAAATAGCTTCAGAACAATATTAATTTTGGAATAACTAATGGTATATTAAATTTTTAACTTATTTTAACCTAGAAATATATTTTTCGTTAAAGAGAATATCTTTGTTCTGACTTTATATTCAATTTTTAAAATATGTAACTGAGTTTTTCAAGAGAATCTGGAATGAATATTGCCCTACAATAAATTTAGCAGCATTCTGATACAAACATTGTCGCTATTAAGTAAAAAAATTGATAGCATCTATTAAAAACTGAAAACTTGAGTGGTAACTTTCTTTTTAAATCATTACTTCTAATTCACATCCTATATTACCATATCCTACAAATAAAATGTTCCATACTAATAAGAAACTATTTTGTAGATGACGTTTTCGTTTTTAAAATGTGACACATCTGGCAACCCTGACAGTTGTGAGTACATGTTGAAGGACCAAAGAATTGAAAATATATGCAAATACCTCCCAATGAAAGATCAGAGCTGGAGTGACTTTCTGAATTGCTTTGACAAACCTTTTTTATGTCCAATGAAACCGGTAAGTTTTAGTTTTTATTAATAAAACTGTTTAAATAGTCATTCGGCGCCAAATTATGCGAAATAATATTAGGAATTTTAATAACTAGAAAAAATACATTACAAACACAACAAATGCATGTCAACAATATCATATACAGCCGTTAATAGTTAAAAATAATTCCTTAAATCTTTCTATCTCTTTTTAAGAGATAAACTCATCTTTTCTTATCCTGAAGGATTCTAGACCTGGACCTGATGATATTCCTTCAGCATTTGTGAAACGTCTTTTTATTTCAGCCATAACGTATCTCTTAAACATATTTAACAAAATTTGGCTCCACCATGGTTAGCTATTTGGTAAAGGCAACAGTAATTCCCCTCCTAAAAACTTTCAAACCCAAAATCATACCGACCCATATCTATAACATCAGCAGCTGGCAAATTACCAAAAAAACATTGTTAATTCCAGGCTCTTATGGGTTTTATAAAATTCCCATTTTTTATCTCCGAGCAAAATGGCTTTAAAAAAGATCGGTCAACCACAGACTTGGAATGTGAGATGAAACTCTTGCTACAAACCAAAACTGCGTTGCTTATTTTTTTAATTTAGAACGTGCATTTAATAAAGCTTGAAAATACAATATTTTAAAACAACTTCATAACTGAAATATTTAAGGTCACTGGCTTGGCAACAGATCTGTTTAAGTAAAAATAAATATTATTTTTTCAAATAGTTATCATTTAGAAAATGACACACTCCAAGGATCCGTAATCAGTCCAAACATTATTTCTAGACGCACTAAATGATATAATAAAAAATATTCAAGCACCCTTACAAGCCCAGTTAAAGCCTAACGACCTAGTGTTATCTATAAAGAGCAAAATTTACTCCTTATTGTCCTGAATTCTTCAAACCTTACAGGTGCATTCTCTTCAAGTTCCTTGCCACAACCCCCAAACCTGAGAATATATGAGAAACAGCTGGAGTTTATCATCACAAATTCTTGGGTTTAATCTTTAACTCAGCTTACATGAAAAGATCACAACCTATCGTTTTCTGAATTAACAGATTTAATGTGTTAAGAGCTCTTTGTAACAAAAACTGTGATTCTGACCAATCCACTTCACTTTTTCTATATAAATATTTAATACGTTCTAAGCTAGATTATGGAGCAACTGCCTATTTCACTGCTAATCAGTCGCTTTTTAAATCATTAAATGTTATCCATAATACAATTTTAAGATTAATTACAGAAGCTTTTCCAACTTCACCGGTACCCAAGCTCTTTTAGGAGAAGCATCTCTATATCACTGCCGCATGTTCCTCGCCCTATCATATTCAGCCTCAGCCTCAGTCACTTGTAATATTTTAAAACCACTATTTGAACTCGAAGTTCGAAGTTCGAAATTCGAAGTTCAAACACTTTGAGTTTGTTAATGGAACTGACCTTTAAAGTCCATGCTTCCATTCCGTACAAGAGAACAGGCCACACGTAACACTTAAGCATCTTGTATCGGAGGTTGAAGTCCAATAAAAAAAAGCATTTCTGGCTTGTTCAACTCTGCTCTTTATTTTATTCTCCTGGTCCCAACCCTTGTTCAGCTCGTTTAATTTCTTTTTCAGATACATATATCTTTACGTTGGTGTAATCATTTCTACTTATAATCATTTGATGGACGTTGTATAGGAACATGATTGTCCATTGCTGGTTATAGATCTCTCTCATAGTTCTCCATCTATTTCGATCTTGTGCTTCTTTTACCTAATTTCTTTCACGTGTTGGTGGATGGCCCCTGATTGGGTAGGCATTATCTCTTGGTCTCCATGCCAGTACCTGCTTTATCGATCTTTTATCTGTCATTCGAGCAACGTGACCTGCCGGGTTCCACTTCAGTGTTGCTAAAATCTCTACAGCCCTTATGTAGCAATTTGGCTGCATAAAGAAAGGTATATAATGAAACTTTTAGGTAGGAGAAATAGCTTTTAGGAAACGAGAAAAAAGATTTCTTGTTTTAAACCTAGGAACACGGTTCAACATGTCTAAAGCTACATTATCTTGCACATATGCCAACAAAGTAATATACTAACATCCCGAAAGTATACGCACCATAAGCATTTATTTGTAACAACATATTTACCCAAAATGTTCAAAATACATGACTTTTGTCAACACGATACATTTGTGTTACTAATCTATATAAAACAATACGAATAAAGTAGTCCGAATTTTTAAGAATCTCAACCATTAGCACCTTTTAAATGGTCACCGAAAGACACTTAAAATAAAATGCAACGAAAACTATGACATAAAAGCCCTTCGTATTCTCTCTCCCACTCAATTCTCGCCCACTCAGACTGCGCCGACAACTTCCGGAAGCAGTTAACAAGGACAATGAAAGAAATTATGACACAATTAAAGTAGGCCTTTAATTAATTTGAATAATTAGTGGAGCAATTAGAGTTACGTGAACGAGAATTTTCATTCTTCGTCCGCAATTTTTTGTTCTTGGGCCGGCTCGCAGCGCGATCCCAGCTGGCCCGTCGTAAATACGAGACGGAGCTCTTAGACGTTTTATGCCGACATACTTTATAGGTTATAAAAGTTTTTATTGTGGGCCCGTGCGTATACGCGCGTATTTCTGGCATATCTTGGTAAATATTCAAAAGGTGTGCAGAAAGGAGAATGGAGTAGCAAGTGTGCTTGCTTGAAGTGCTCTTAACTATTCAGTTTGAAGCAGAAGGTAAAAAAATCTGAATAAAATTAGTACATGTATCATAACTAAAATAAAAAACAAGAGCATTTACAAAGAATTAAATAAATAAATAATTCTAGATCTCGAAAATATGTTAAATTAGTAATTAGTCAAAAGAAAAGGCAAAAAAGTATTTTTGAAGTGTGTATATTTTTTAATAATTCCTAGCTGAGCGCTTTCGGCTTTACAAAGCCATCATCGGAGCTATGCTACAATAAAATGTTTTTATAAGTAACTAATTGGTGAAGATTTTAATTTTATACTTACGTCAATTTATAAATACCACTACAATGGAGAGATCTCATTTCCTTATTTGTTGAAATTTTGATTTTTGTAATTACTTAGTTGTTATAAAATCTAAAACATACAAAAAACCGACGCTGGACTTTACAGACACATTAAAAAATTTTTGTCATGGTACGGGTGTAAGAACCCGACCATTGTTTGCTATGAGGAGGTAGACAGAATAGAACTAATGAAAATCAAATGTCGATCCCTTTAAATGATTTTTCAAAAGTGACAGTTGACAAATGTCATGTATAGGAAATAGAGATTGTTTTTAAATTCTTACAAAATTATTTAATAGTTTGGAATTACTAATAGTCATCAAAGACTTTCAAAAAATTAAGTTTTTAAGTTTTTAAAATTAAATCTTATGTGTTCATCACATCATACAGAATGATATTAGTTTGTAAATTGACTCAAGACATTGATCAAGGTCAATGTATGTTCAATCTGACAGTCATCCCTAAGAAACAAGGGTTCAAGTTGTTCAATAATAATATAAAGAAGAAACATGGTATTAATGTTACATGATCTGATATTTAAGTGTATTGAGAATTGTATCTCTTGATGGAAATTTGTAAGAAATTTGCATAAATTTTTTTTAAAGAATATATTTTCATGTTTCAATTAAGAATAACTTGTCAAATGAATTACAAAATGTTGTAAATTTATAATAAAGTTTAGAATTTTTGTTTAAAAATATAAAATTATGACAAAATGTAATAAGATTGCATGAGGTCACCCTTCTTCCTCTAAAGTCTCCCATAATAATTTAAAAAGAGGTTTATAATTGCAATTGAGGTTGATTTGTGTGTTTAAGCAACAATCAGGGTTTAGTTTCATTTCTTTGGTTATCTCAAGATCTTCCAAGAGATTCATGAGTCTAAAGTTTTTATTGGGAATGTTGTCTAAAATTTTACTGTTTTCAGAAGAAGAAAAGGAATGATTATTAAATTTAATGTGATATCCAAAGTTTGATTTTTCTGGGTTATTGAGGTGTTCTTTGATTCTTTGATTCAGAGTTCTCATTGTTCTACCTACATAAGTCATATTGCAGTCACCACAGACCAGCTTGTAAATACCACTTCTGTTTAGTTTGTCAACTTTGTCTTTGGTCTTGCTGAAGATGGACTTGATGTTATATTTGGTTTTAAAGAGATGTTTAAGTCACTGATTTTATTAACAAGTACTCTTGAAATTTTTTCTGAAATTGGTCCTAAGTAAGATAAGGATCTAATATCTAAGTAGTGTTGGATTTTTTATCAACACTAAAAGCTTGGTTTAGTCTCTTTTTGAGTATAGATGTTCTAATGACTTTATCAACAGTAGTAGAAGGAAAACCATTGTTGTTTGCTATCTGTTTAATGATGGAGATTTCTTTATTGTAATTTTCTTGAGACATAGGGATATTAAGAAGTCTGTGGATATAACATTGAATAGCTGCCATCTTGTGTTGAAAAGGGTGATTTGAGGATGTTGGTATCATATGGTCATTTACTTTCGGTAAACTCAACCACAATTCCCTAGATTTTTTATAGAATTGAATAAAAATTCCTTTTTCCCTAAGCTGACTCAAAATTTTCTAGGTATAGGGAAAATTTCCTAGGTACAAGGAAAATTCCCTAGGTCTGGTAACACTGAGTCACAGTCACAATTCATTAGCTGTGGTTAGCTGTCCTGCGTCTAATGGGGAAAGGGGAGGAGGGTGGCACTGCTTGGAAATGCTTGGTTGTCTAATGCCACATTGAACAACTTACATTTGATTCTTTCAAGCATTCCATTTTAAATTTATGTGTAAAGCTTGATATTACAGTGGTTTGTTTCAATTTTCTAAACATCATGAATAATTTAGAATTTTAGAAAGGCTACCTAAATTAAATTTAATTTTCGACTGATCTACATCCCTGATCTAAATTATTTTTAAGAAAAAGTCTACTTCGTTTTTGACCAAGTATCATAAATTCAAGTTTTTTATAATGGACTGTATATTGAAAAGCATCATTAAAAATCAAACGGTCTATTTAAAATCTAGGACAAAATGTTTTATTTAGATAAAAAGTAAACTAAATAAAACCGAACTAATAAACATACACCCCTGGTTGGCGTATTTACATTTTTTAAGTTGATTTGAATACCGAGAATCCCGATTCGCTCGAAGTCCATCTGCTCATTTATACAGCTCAAAATATTTCGCATTTCCATCCGCCAACTCAGTTGCAAACTTTTGAATAAAACGGTCTTATTTCGCAATTATTCACCGTTTAGACGGCGTGAAAAGTTATAAGAATGCTTTGCATTTTAATTTGTATTTATTTGGGAAGTTCTTTGGGCACGACGCTTCAGGACGTCGTTTAAGCGCCTAGGCGCATTTTCGACGCTTATTATGATTATTCAAAGTAGATTTACCTGTCGTTTTGCACTTTTCTGAGAATTAGCTCGACTAAATTCTACTTACTTGTAGCTAGTTAGCATTCTGGCAAGTAGGGGGAATTAGGAAGTTTAATCTCTATAGGAAGTTAAAACTAAGACGCGTTTTGACTTTACGGCCGATGGGAAATTATTTAAATATTCCTTGGAGGTCACATCTCCGTCAGGATGGAGGTAGAAACTGACAAGAAGTGACACGTGGATTAATGACGTTGCTTTTTTGCATTTTTGTTTATTTCTATTAATAATTATCTTGAGAAGGCGATACGTACGACTGAATAATCTAAAATCTACTTACATTGTTTTTTTCCGAAGGGAAGTACATGTAGACAAATTAAATTTGTTTAATTTCATAAAAGTAGTTATATATTTTTGTTATATCTAAGACATTATTGTCATTAGTTAATCTACTTAATTAAAAATTTTAAGACGACGTTTTTATTGCAATCTGAAATGTAGTTATACTAGGATGATTACAACTACAAATTAATATCGTAAGTGACAAGTTTATAGGCAATCATACATGTGATGATGACGTACAATAAATTTAATCGGATTCACGAACGAGCTCATAAAAATGAGGCGAGTTATAGCGCATTAAAATCTCGATGTTTATGTAAAGTGGTGAAGTATGTGAAGACGGTTGCATTGCATCATTCATATATTCAGATATTAAAATCAGTGTATTGTTCGAAGATGGTTAAACTATTTCTAAATTTGCAGTAACAAAAAGTGATAGGAAGCAACAATTTTTTTATTCCAATTAAGTATTAAGACAGTAGAATAATTAAGTAGGAAAATGATTTACACCAACTGTTTCCAAAAATTCTGCTCTTATTAATTATTTAGTAAAATTAAGATCATTGACAATAAAAGACCCAACAAGGAGCTGGCTTTACGCTGTAGTTCTTGAAAACTGCTTAGTATGGAACCAAAACCTAGTATAAATTTCGAAAAAACCCAAACATCTTTTTCATTTAATTTTTCTTTTTACTATGAGCGATATTTGCTGTTTAGGTATTTTAATAATGTTTCTTTTGATTGTATCGTTTGCAATAATTTTTAATAAATTTTCATTTCTTCTCTAATTTTTAACAAAATTTTTCACTCGTTAAAAACCTGTGTCTTTTTTTCCTAATTGCTTTGTTGTTTGAAATTGTTGTTTATAGATAATTAAAAAAAAATAATTGATTCACTTGGCGATCGTGTAGGCAATCGCTTTGTTTAGGTTGATAAAAAATCTGAGGATGGTGTTTTTACACTCGGAATATAAAATTCTGACTGTTTTGTCTGTTTTATTTGTGTCTAATTTTTGTCTTATAGAAAAATAAAAATAATGAACTATTTCAAAAAAAAAACAAAACCTATATTTTTACGGTTCAAGTTTTTTTTGTATAACTAATACTTTTTAAATTATTTTGAAAAAAAGGCATTTGTTTTTTTTAAATTTGCATATTTTTCTTTTAATTTAAAACCATTTTTTTTTTCAAAAATAAGCATTTTAAACTGGTTTAACTTACATATTTCATATAAACAATATACAAATAAAGTAAATTTTAATACAATAAAGATTAATTTTATTTGGGGTACTAATTTGGGGGGTTAGGGACCAACTTTACTTTGATCGTAACTTGCTTAATTTAGATGGTAAAAACTAAAAAAAAAAAACAGAAATAATCCTTTTTTGAACAATTTTAAAAAGTTTTAATGTGTTTCCCACGAAAAGTGCTTCATTTTTTGGTTACTACACGTTGAAATATTGGAATTTGACGAACCTACTTTTCATGAGCTACTAACTGTTCTTCTACTGAGTCTACAAACCTTATGATTACATTTTTTATATTAGCTATATTGTTTGTAAGAATATTTAAACGTGGTTTTTATTTTGAACAATAAACATTTTCACTTGCAATTAACTCAAAAGTATAAACTGAGTCGAAGTCCAAAAGCGAAGGAGATAGTAAAAGGAACCTAAACTTATATTTTCAAGTAAATCCATCTTGAAAAGTACTAACACAATCCGAATTATCTTACAAAATAATTTAATATTGCTATAAAGAATTATGTTCAATTTGTAACGACAATATTTTGCCTACCACAGAGGGCATTATTATAAGGGGTAGAAAATTGGGGGAAGAAACTAAGGGGGTGGAGATAAGGCAAGCAAAATAATCGCTACTTGTGCGAACGGCACTCAGGGTTTGGTAGGAGAGCTGGGGTCGTCGATAAGTAAAGGATAAGGGCATTGTAATAGGGGAACTACAAAAAAATGAAATAAAGGCCTCTTGGGATAAACAAAATAAAAATAAACAAGAAACACCTCAAGGAATTTAATATAGGGCGCCACTTGAGGTGCCTAATTATGCCTATTACAACCACTAGTTGTAACTAGGGAAATAATTAGAAAACAAAATCAAAACATAAAAACATATCTTTTTCAAATAAACTCAAAAAGGGTTAGCTCAAAAAAAATAAATAAAATGTTAAGACAACAAAATTTAACATTTATTTATGTGTCACCACAAATAGTTACATGGAGAAAAAACAAAACACAAAAAGTTAGATGTGTCATTCGCTTACAAACTCTGTTGCTACAAAACTTACAAAATTGCATGGAGGTTTAAACAAAACAAAGTAAAATCAAAAAATAATAAAACGAGCTGTCATAAATTAACATTAAATTTCAAAAAAACTAAACACATAAATTGACAGCTCAACTCAAAACCAAAAATTTACAATTTTAAATGTAACGAAAGCAATTATTATTTCATAAAAAAAATTGTCTGTCTTTAGTTTAAAATTTGAACACAAAGTTACCTGGATTTTCACTAAGAAAATGCACTAGAATTTGTGGAACCAGACGCCACTGGAATATCCGAAACCATAACTGGAACTAAGGGCTTTACTCTCTGTGCAATGAACACAACTATCTATCTCCATATCTTCATATCTCGAACAAATCTATCTCCATACTGCCAAAAGCCTTGGATAATAACCAGGGAGAAACAAAACGAGGATGGAATCGACGATTCTTCCAATCCTCACTCAAACATTTACTGAACCATTAACTTCACACTGCTACACATTTTCTTCATAAAAAAAGACGAACAAACGTCTTCATAAAAAAACACAAACAACGAGGAACATTTCGAATTTGAAGTCAAATTCGGACATAACGTTGACCGCTTTTCACCGCGGCTCCAACGATAGTGAAGAAATTCTCTATTAAAATTGATCGCATAACTTGAAAATAAACAAACAACGGAAATAAAAACGTAGATATCTTTTTGCGACGCATAAACTTGAAAAGAAATTGCCGAAGTAAAATAAACAACTCTGAAATGGTTTTATTACTCGGCGACGAAACACTTTTGGGTACTTTGAAAGATACGAACTAACAACACGGAAACATTCTTCGTTTCATTTTTTAAAAATATATAAGGAGTTTTTAATATATTTTTTATACGAGGAGGTTTCAATATACTCAAAAGAATTAATGAAATTGAAAATGCTACAAATTTTATACTCAATAGATTATTTTTTCTCTTATTTCTCTTTTTAAACTTAAAAGAAATACAAAAAAGAAAAACTATAATTCTTTTGTTTATTTTAGGATACTTACAAATGCCAAAACTTATCGGTAAACGCAAAATCCTTGAAGAGACTTCCAATAAAAGATGCGGTTTGGAAACTACACATCGGTGGACACGACAAGGGCAAGCAAATATCCTGTGCCGATATTGAAATAAACGTGGTAACACCTCTTGGTCAAAGCGGATAAAAAAAATGTTATAAAATTTGCCAGATATTTTGTACAAAAATTTAAACGCAATAAAGTTGTTGTCTCTTATTAATTATTCTTTGTTTTTGTTAAATATTCTCAACGTCATGAATTTATATTATTCAAGAAGAGTATTTGGAATATATTTATTTTAGAGGAAAAATAATTGTTTTTGTGGTTTATGTCTTATTGGGAGAATTGGCAAAATCGCAACTCCAAAATATTGACAATATTGTCACTTTAAAGTCATCTACTTAAAAATATATAAGTCTGAATTGTCAATGTAAATGGGTCAGATAAAATAAAGTTCTTGAAAGACCAAGGGCGGAGATCTCATCCTTGAAGTAGCAGGGAAAGAACAGGCTGAGCGCCTGAAGAAGACTATTACGGCCCGTACGGAGGGAAACACGGTAGAAGACGTTCGGAGTCATCAGGTTCAGGTTGACATATTTGACATAGACGGAATGTCCCAAACGAAGAAATTCTGAGGCAGGTCCGGAGATATACCGGTATCAGGGGAACTAATGACGTCAGACTTGTCTCTATAAGGCAAAATGGAGACGGAAACACAAACGTCACGGTCGGACTGACGCGGATCGCAGCCAAGAAAGCATTGGAAAGAGAACACATACCTACCCATCGACTGGAACTCGTGCCAGATACGAAAGAGATTGCACATCCAGCGATGCTTTAGATTCCTGCAGTTCGGGCATAGCAAAAACGCATACAAGGGAGAAAACAGAGCGGACTGCTGCTACAGATGTGGCAAAGAGAGTCATCAGGCACGAGAATGCAGTAATTTGGAGGCTTTTTGTCTCACTTGTAAAGAAGCCGGGCACAAAGCCGACAGCGTACGATGCTTACACAGTATAGAAAACTGATATTGAAAAAACGGAAGGTCAAGAGAGACCCTATCAGAAGGGAGGAGGAAAGAGTGGGTAAAAGAACTTAGAACCAGAAATCAGACACATTGTATAAGTACATTGACTCAATTATGCAAGAGGCTAGGATGGAGACTGTACCGGTCGTCATAATTGGTGACCTGAATGCGAAGGATCATCCATGGAACCCACGAGTCCAAGATGGGCGAGAAAAATATCTATCAGAATGGATCCACGCAATGGGGCTTACCGTTTTAAAGGGCGGTAAGGTACCTGCATTCGTGAGAGGTAATAGTAAATCCTTTCTGGACATCACACTGGCTTTAAACAAATTTTTAAACAGGGTCGTAAGCTGGACTGTTTTGGAAGAAGAATCGCTCAGCATACATAAGTATGTAAGTTTTAAAATAGATAGCAAACGACAGAAACGTAAAAATGGGAATATGTTTAAATGAGGAGGTTTTTGTAGATGCTTTTGGCTTAACTGGTCCGGGATGTGAGGATGTGTGTGAGTTAATTGAGGGTCTGAATGATGCTCAGGAGTTGACTTGTGTAAGATCAAATGGACGGTATGAAAGAAAACAACCATACTGGTGGAACGAGCAGCTTGAAAATCTGAAATCAAATTGCATGAGAGTAAAAAGGGAGTGTAAGAGGTTGAGAAGAGTACTGTAGCATTTTAAATTTGATTGATTCTTTGAAGTATATTTAAAGTCGCCTCGTATATGAAATCGTCTTAATAAAACGAAGAATGTTTTCTGTTTTTTAGTTCGTATCTTTCGAAAAGTGTTTTCAATCATTCTAACGTCGTAGAGTAATAAATCCATTTAATTGTTGTTTATTTTACTGCGGCGATTTCTTTTCATGTAAATGCGTTTCAAAGGATATCTACGTCGTTCGTTGTTTTTGCTATTTCAGCAGTTCGTTGATTTTCAAGTTAAGCGAACAAATTTTTAATTTCGTCACTCTCGGTGGAATCGCTGCCGAAGTCAGTCGGTTTCATTGTTTAGTCCGGATTTTCTTTTAATTCGTTATTGCATTTTTGTTATGGAAAAATGTGTAAATAGTAGCAGTGTGGAGTAAACCGAGACAAAGAAAACAGTCAAGTTTTGGAATTGAGATTCGGAATAGCTTGCGGGTGTAGTCTTCCAAGCCGGATTTTTTTTTCAATTTGAAAAGTGAATTTTTACTCAAAATGCGATCTGGCAGTTTTTTTGTTGAGTTAACCACCGATTTGTTCGTGCTGTGTTTTATCTGAGAGATTTGTAAAACGGCGTTTCCAGCCGTTTAAGAGGTTCACATGATTTTGGGAGGAAATTGAGTGGGCGAGTTTTGAAGATTGCAGTTTTTTGTCATTCAGGATGATCCGAAGCCGATTCCAATGGCCAACTTCCAAAGAATTGTCTGTTTGTGTTCATAAGTCACTTCAGACTGAATTGCAGCTTAAGTGGGACACAGTTGTATATTTTGCAGTGTTTTGGTTCAATTCCGATTCCAAAATTTTCTTAAAGGAAATACATCAGTCAGTGATACCAGGTACTTTTAAAATTAAAAATTACTTTTCAAAGTAAAAATAAATAATTTTTCAATAATAAAAAAATTTGCTTTGATGACAAACTAAAAAATTGTAAATAAATGAAATTATAAATTTTATGGATTAGCTAATTGTCCTATTAGTTTTCTTTTAAATAAAGTTGACTGCTATAATTAAAATTAATGTTTCAAAAATGTTTAATATTTCATTTCGATATATGACAGTTAGTATTATCCTTTCTCGACATTAATACATAACCATAAAGTTGAATTGTTTTGTAACTGTTTGTGGTATACATAATAAAGGTTAAATTTTGTTGTCTTAACTTTTTATTTATTTTTTTGAGCTAACCTTTATTGATTTTTATTTGAAAAAGATATGTTTTGATTTTATTTTCTAATTATTTCCCTAGTTACAACTAGTGGTTGTAATAGGCATAATTAGGCACCTCAAGTGGCGCCCTGTATTAAATTCCTTGAGGTGTTTCTTGTTTATTTTGATTTTGTTTATCCCAAGAGCCCTTTATTTCATTTTTTTGTAGTTCCCCCATTCTAACCCCCATTTTACTTATCCACGACCCCTGCTCTCCTACGAAACCCTGAGTGTCCGTTCGCATCAGTAGCGATTATTTTGCTTGCCTTATTTCCACCCCCAATAGTTTCTTCCCCCAATTTTCTACCCCCTTGTATTAATGCCCCCTGTGGTAGGCAAAATATTATCGTTACAGTACAAGCACTAGATTTGAAAAAGAGAATAAATGAATTAAAGCAAATAAAGCATTAATTTAATGAATTTAATTATCATCAAACCATAGACTTATTGAGTTCAGATCATACTACAGTAGGTATCTCAGAGTTCTGAAGAGTTAAAATTTCTCGATCTGCAAGATCTCGAAAAATCTTAAAATCATCTGCAAAAATAGCAGGCTTGTCGAAAACTTCAAACAGTGAGCCAAATCGTTAATAAATATAGCGAAAAAAAGAGGACCCAAGTTGCTACCTTGCGATATACCTGATGTCGACATAAATGGCTTAGATAAACTATTCCCCATTTTAACTTGATTTAACCCATCAGAAAAACACATGCTTCTGAATCAAAATAAAATTTGCTATAAAAGTATAGTGTAACCAATCTTATTATAAGCTTTGGAACAGTCAATAAAAATGCAAAACTTGTAAAAACGCATAAATTTGACACCTTGGACATCCCTGGTAAAAAACCATGTTGTTCTGGAAAGAACATTACCAAAGAAATTCAAAATATTGTTTAAAAGCACATTCTCGAATATCTTAGCAATTGAATTGATGACAGATATAGGCCTATAGTTTTCAACATTACCAGCATTACCAGATTTAAATATAGGTGTTATAACTGCATACTTTCAGCTATCTGGAAATTTACTTTGTTTAATAGACAAATTTAAGATTAGTGTGAGAAGGACATAAAGAGTCTCTGCGCAACCCTTAAAAATGTATGTTGCTATTTATTATCATTACCTGTGGCTTTTTTTGGTTTTAGTCTTTTAAAGTTTTGGAGAAAATTCTCAACTGTTATTTTTAAAGAGTAAAAACCTCCCTCATTTAGTGTTCTATTAGGACTATTTGATCTTTGAAATATAGAGCCAAAGTATTCTGCAAAAACATTGGCAATATCCTGACAGCTACTTATGTCCACACCCCTAATAGACCTCTGTTGGAAATGTATTATTTACACCACCGGATTTTATATAAGGACCAAAAACTACCAGGGTCAGTTTGTACATTATTCTCAAAATTTTTATTGTGACACTTATATGCTTTCCTGTTACTACTACAAGAAACCTCACCGCAGATGGACGTGTAAAAGCCCAGATGGGAACACGACAAACGAGATCGATTACTTATCACTGATAAAAGATACATATTTACAGATGTGACAGTGCTAAATAAATTTGCGAAATCAAGCGACCATCGTATGGTGAGAGCCACCATTGTGTTAAATACCAACTATGAACGACACAATATGATAAAAAAGAAGCAAATAAACAGATGGACACATCCAAACAACGAACAAAATTTTGAAGATCATATCGGTAAACTCCTTCAAGAAAAATCATCAACAAATGATACTAACATTCTAAATGACATAATAGTAGAAGCAATAACAGAAGCTCAAAAGAAATGTTGCCCAAAAAGCGTGAAAGAAGAAAAAATTAGTCTGGAAACACAGAAAAAAATGGAACAAAGAAGAATACTGGGAAGCGACGAAAACTCTAGTAACGACGATATAAATAGAATGAACAAGGAAGTATCAAGAGAAATCAGAAAAGACTTAAGAAAATACAAAGATGAGAAAATCATCAAAACCATTGAGGAAAATAAGAGTATGAAAATAATGAGACGCAAACTCACAAATGGAAATAAACAAATAGTCAAACTCAAGGATAGAAATGGCAACATTACATCAAACAGAGAACATTTGTTACAAATTGTGGAATCATTCTATAAGACATTATATAGCAACCAATCGACTCTAGATATAGTCGAATATCAACAGAGAAAGGTTCAAAATCAGGGTTCCGAAGATATTCCAGAAATCTCCTTGAACGAAATTTACAAGGCCCTAAAAAAGATGAAGAATAACAAAGC